TTTGGAATCATGGACATGAGAAGGCCCCGAAACGATCAAAACATGGAAGTCGAAAATCTGGGTGAACGGTGCCTTTGAGAGTGCACATAAGTATCAATATTTAGAAGATTGATCAGAACGCTTATTGGCCTCCACAAATTCCATCCTTCATTTTGATTCAGCATAGATTTACCCCCAACTACCAAAGCAGTCAAGTCATGTCCACATCAGTTACTTGCAATGAGCAAGTTAACGAGTCTTTAGGAAATTGTTATTTGATATTGTTTGTTATAGAAGTTTTTTTTTGAAATTTCAATGAATACTCTTCATGGTATTCCGTCAGAGTAAATGAAAAAATAAAAAAGCATATGATTCATTAAGGCATGACAAGCTCTATGAAATGACTTTGGAACATCAGCACAAGATTTCTACACTCTGTAATTTGAAGTAATGCATACTGTAACTGCACAAAATTCGAATTTGCATTCAAAATGGTCCCGAAAATCTGACCTACTCGATGGTAGGATAGCTACCCTCACAGCTAGAAATTAGGGAAATGTAAACTAGTAGGCTCATTTCAAAACGATGTTCTGGCGATAGATGGATATGTACATAAATAATTCCATACTGTAAGCTGTTAGAAGTTCAGTCATAAGTTTCTGGCCTTCTTTAGGCCCTATTTCGAGCACATAACAAGAAATATCCTTTTCAAGAAAGTTCATTCTGGCATAAATGTCTTCTTCAAGGTGAGTGATAAGTCGAAAATCTTTGAAACCTTCACAAAGCGCGAGTATCGTCTTGCAAGGACCCTTCAGGAAGCTCATACTAAATACAAATGGCGACGTCAAAACTGTCCATATTTCGACGCTATGGGATGTGATCTTCCAAATTCTCTACACCGAAGCTTGAAATGGTGTTTTACAACGAACGATTGCTGACGGCTTGGGATTCTAATACACGATATATGTACTATTACAATTATTTTCATGAAATCTGCAGGCCATAAAATGGCCACCACAAGGTATGTTTGGCACAACACCTCTGCTACAGCGATTACTAGAAAGATGTCGATATTTTGTAGGTCCAAACATCTTGGTTTAGCTATGTTCATGAGAATACCTTGCCAAATACGTTCAAATTAAAACAGCGCATAGAGAGAAATCTTTGATTAGAGGCTTCCTATAAGAACTTTGGAAAGTCTAAACAAACAGAGCTAACACAACCAAAGCGTAACTTATTAGAACTAGAGAGCGCTTTCCGAAAGCCTGCAAAGCTAGTTCTAAGGACCTCATTGGCACAGAACGGTGCTTCGGAAACGCATTTACCAGAAGAACCTGCATTGTTATCTGCACAAGTTATTATTTTTATTGACAGACCGCATTTGCAAGCGGTACCTTCCTTGGAAGTAGGATTGACTTTTTAAGATACATTAGAACGGATGCGGATATTGAATGTCAACTCCCCAATTTGAGGGAGGAGGGGGAGGGGGGGGGGGGGGAATGGGCAAGGTGTTACGAGCATGTAAAATTGGAACAACATTGATTTCGTACATGATTTCGTACAATCTTCTTATGGCGTAATAATGAACTAAATGCAGACTGAGAAGAGGCCATTCCGAAAGTAATTCCGCCATAGAGGCACCACATTTGAAGGAACAAATATTTCCGAAGATCTTGGTAGCGTTCGAGCAGCATTCCATCCTCTTTTTAATGGTTGTAGATGCATTGCAGTATATGAGCTCTTGGAATTACGAAAATCTGTGACCCATGCTTTTTGAGATGCTCAAGTTTTGAAATTTTTCCAAACTTTCATATCAACCCTCTGAAGGAGTTTACGAAACAGATGGATAGAGCGCACCCTACAAGAAACAGCATAACATTTTCCCTTTCCACATCTCGCCATAATTTTTTTACACCGGGTTTTGGCAGGCCTACGTCAGACACAAGCGCACCAAACACCGATAAATCTTCGGGATTTTAAACGTCCAAGATGGCATTGTGATTTAGCAGTAATTCTGCCAAACAAATGAGAGTTTAGTCGAAATATCTAATTTCGAATTTTTCGGATACAGCCCGGGAACGCTCGAAAACATGAATATGGTGGTTTCACCAAAGACTGCACGAAGCGGACATAAAAAACTTCCCATAGAAAAAGGCGAAAAAGAATTGAATTGAATTATACTCAGGTTGTTAGTCGACTGATGTTTTACGAACTCTGAGTTAAAAAATGACGAGTTATGGAAAGGAGGGAAATTGTTTTGTATACTATGGTGTTTGCTCTTTCCCCCGTTCTCTCTTATTGGACTTCTTTGGAGGGTTAATATAAGAATTTTGGAAAATTGTGATACTTGAGCATCTGAAAAGCGTGGGTCGCAGAATTCGGTAATTCTCCAAGAGCTCATGAAATATTTCACAAACATTTCATGTCAACCACCACTGCTTTATTTAGCAAGTGATACCATTTAGTAATTTCTCTCAACAATCACAATCGAAACTATGAGAGGCTAAGCCTTCTGCATCTTATATATAAAGCTGAATGTCTGTCTGTATGTATGTATGTCTGTCTGTATGTATGTCTGTACGTATGTGCGGAATAGAAATTTTTATTTCTGAACCGATCGGGACCAAACTTGGCACACATATACTTCGGGGCAGGGAGCGTGTCATAGGCTACTTTTCGTTATCGATCGATATCGATTTTATCGATTTTTTGCAAAATTCGAGCTAGAGGGCTGGGATTTGGCAGAGGGGGGTAATCGAGCATGCTGATCACCCCCGAAGGGGGTGATCAGCATGCTCGATTACCCCCCTGTGCAAAATCCTAGCCCCCTAGCTCGAATTTTGCAAAAAATCGGTAAAGTCGACATCGATCGATAACGAAAAGTGGACTGTGACATGCTCCCTGCCCCGAAGAGTATGTGTGCAAAGTTCGGTCCCAATCGGTTCAGAAACAAAAATTTCTATTCGGAACATACGTACACGGGTCTAGCTGGCAGGCCCGGCGGAGCCGGGCAAGCCAGCTAGTTCTAAATATACTTGTCGATATAACACAATTACAAGCATTTTTTTAGTCCGGGACACACTTAGTTTGATGAATTGTTGCCGGACCGAGAGCCAAGTACTTTCTGAGCTTTTGTTTTAACATCCTCATAAGATTGTGTTCTTGGAATTGTGACTTTGGAGCAAATCCGCATTTAGTGCAAACAAAATTATACTGGACCGAATTCGACCGCGCTTTTTAAAACCAGGAAAATGCCTTCAATTTTGTTCCTAATGGTATACAAATATGAAAGGACCTTTTGTAGCATTGTTTCAGAGTCTCTTATTGATATAAATCAATAAGAGACTCTGAAACAATGCTACAAAAGGTGCTCTGAAACAATGCACATCATCACACTCGGGCCACCTTGAATCCCTAGCTCAGCTGCGCTCCACAAATAGAAGTCTATTGTCAGACAAGCGTTTACCCTCATATTAGTTTACATCGCTGATATAAAATTATCCTTCAATTAGGTTTAGCTGACCCTTCGCTGCATACACACACTTTTTTCCACACAACAAAATTCTTTCTGATTGAATTATTTTCAGTTGCATTTATTAGCAGATACTTTAATTACATCACTAGGCATCTATCGAGTTGAAGTCTAACTTTTGCATCTCAGGTTTGAGATTTTCAAGTTGCGTCATTTTCTTAGAGCACTTTTCAAATCTATATTCATTCCTCACGTCGTAAGCTGAATTTTCTGGAAGTAATTTCACTAGAAAGCAATGACGGTTCCAATTCCGTCTGGGCGGGGAGAGGGGAGGAGTGGGAGAAAAAATTTTGTGAATAAGGCGGCACTACGTCCACGAACAATTTTCACGTGGGCTAATTCAATATCAATAAAAAATGTGTTGACTACTTACAAATATAAACACTTGCACGTTTTATGACCAGTTTTGGTGGCAGCTCGTAAGGTCATACAAGGAAACCTATTCAAATGTCTTTCGAATGTTGAATACTAACTTTCCAAAGAGCACTGAGCGGTAGCATTTGAATCTATCTTTTATCACACCTCTGGGCACTGTCTTAGGAGCGGTTTTGGGTGGAGAAAGTATGAGGGACGGAAAATCGCTCAGAATTTTTTAAATACTCTCTACGTCTGTAAGAATATGTACCGGTGTGATAAAATCGACATGTGTTCCTGCTTTCTAAGAAATCGTGAAGGCCTTTTGAAAAGGGTGATTCGACAAGAAACCGTCCTGCGCTTTCTAGTGCCTACGGAGTGTTTTAGTTCACTTACCTCACGAAAAGGATATTGCGCTTTCGTTGTCTCTCAGTGCCAGAGGGTCTGATAAATCAAGTTGCGAAAACTGATGGTGCTATATTGCCTAAGGAACTTTTGTTAAGTATTCACGAAACGAAAGGACAAAAAAATTGATACTCTCTCAAATTTTTTCAACTTGCCTGCATTCCTAATTTTTAGAAATACTTCTGTTTTATTGAAAACAAAACACAGTATCAGATATGAACTTTGGGACGAGAATGAGTGCTTTGCAAGCCTTTTCTTTTCCAGATTCTTTTATAATTATGTTTGGTTATACTATCTTATTTATTTTCTTAGTTCTTTTTGGAAGCTGGTTTTGTTGAAGGAAATCTATGAGTAATTTAATATGCTCTTCTTCGACTCTATCCAATTAAGACATTATTCGTACTTTTTTGAATTAAAAGCCAAAACTTTGACTTCCCTTCAACAGTCCTTGGGTGGCATCCATGAGGAAAAGACATTTTGACAAGATTAACTTGGTGAAAGTCAGTGCTACAATTCCTTAACGGAACATAGTTCCTAAGATGACTTAAAAGAACTCTACATATTTGTGAACATAACGGCATTTTGTACCATACAATTAAAAAGCAAAAATTCTATCAAATTTCTGAATTCCTACAAATTACAGAAGCGACTGATTGAGAGAGCCCGAGATCAATTCATTTGATGAAACTTTTTATACGACCATTTTTATCGGAAATAGAAGCTTTCTGCTTCAGAACGAGTTCAAAAGAAGCACACATAGTGAGCTCAAAATAAACATCTTGCAAGTACTAGCATCCGTTGCTGTTGCTTCCGTTGAGAGCGTTATCGGTGGATAGACACTGGTCACTGGTTTACTTGAGAACGTTGCCGGTCGACTCGTACTAGTCGCTGTTTCACTCGAAACCGTTGTAAACTGTCTAAAAGAAGTAACTTGTTGTAAGCATCTCACTTATCAGCAAACTTTGAAGATTCAATCATGGACCGATTATCAAGATTTTTGGCAAATTGCATCCTCATTTCATCGATGTTGAAAATAGCACAGTAACTATGTAGAAAAGGTACGCCTAGTGTAAGCGTTGGACCGAACGAAGGCTGATCCCTTCCAACCACTGCCAAGACACACATGTTTCTGGGCTCAAAGTCCTGAGAATATTTCCATAAAGAAATTTCAAGACGTCCAACCTATCACATACAGCTGTGACGTTTACAATACTCACATTGAGAATAAGTTGAGCCGCTGGTATGGTCTTAGTTTTTCCAGGCAAATCAGCATCCAACATGAGGTCAGGAAATCTGGCATTGCAATCTATCCAGTACCTGTTGCTGCCAGGGTCAAACTGAATACAAGATTTTAAAATAGTAATCTATCAAGTTGGCCGATTTTTCTTGCATTGAACCATTTTTATACTGCACTAAAATATTTTTATCGTAATCTCTTTCTCTAGTGCTCAAAGCTAAATGAGTGATGCATACTGGCAATGCATAACGAGGAGCACTTGAAGCATGTTTCTAGAGATGTAGTGTCAAAGATGCTTAAAGGTATGATTGAATCTGATTTTTCTCTTGTTTTTGTTTACGGTTCATTTTCTTCAACTTGGGTCTGCTATTGCAAATAGTCTTGCTTTTGGTTGCATTCGACTCCTGTTGATGTATTTCGAATGATCATTGGAAAGAGGCACAGGTCGCCCGTCGCAGTAAGTCGCAAAATATTTGAAAGCTACTTACATAAGTTGTACAATTGTGCAAATGACTTGTTTTCACTTGTAAATAATTGGATTAAGTTTTGCAGCTTTCTACAAAATTGAGTCATCTCTACAAGCTAATTTTTTTGGGGGCGTTGTTGTCTATCCGCTGCCGAGATAGGCGACATTAAGTCGCCTGAAGGAGAGATCCCGCGAGGGCATCTGCTACAAATGCGCACTTCTTTCCATCACAGCTCGTGTTAGGTGTTGCGCGGGCGCGCATATTCGGCAACCTTATTGTCATCTATCCTTGCCGGCGCCACCTTCGCCGTTGGGTTTTATTTTACGCTTTTTACAATGGTAAAAAAGCCTCTAGTTGAGCACTCCCATTATAAAAGCCTCACCCACCCTTCACCCGGCACTTTTCGTAACGAACCCTAGGCAAAGTATACATTTTCTGAAAACGGAAGACGAGACGGTTGTAATGGTGACCATGATGGCGTAAAAGATGCTCATCTGCAAAAGTTATGAATTTTTTTATTTCAAAAACTCGAAAAACTCCAAAAATCACAGGGACAGCCTTCACCCAGGCACTTTTTCAGACGGATCTCAGAATGCTATATATTTTTTTGAAACCGGGAGACGAGGCGGTTCCGTAGGTGACTATTTCGAGGCGAATCTGAAGGTGACTATTTCCTTGACCAAGATGTTCATCTGCAAAAGTTATGAATTTTTTTTTATGAATTTTTTATGTTAAAAACTCGAAAATCTTCAGAAATCACTGAAGCACACCCCTTACCCAAGCAGTTTTTTGGACAAATCTCAGACATGCTATATGTTCTGAAATCGAAGGACAAGGCGGTTTCTATATTCACTATTTTTTTGTACCAGCTATTCATCTACAAAATATATGATTTTTTAATGTTTTACTCGTAATGTCCAGAGATCACTAGGCACACCTTTCACTAGGTACTTCTATGAACGGACTCTAGGCAAACAATTTATTCCCTGGAACGAGATGGAAACGTTGTACCACGGAAGTTTCTTCGCTGACTTGCTGTGCAGCTACAGAAGCTGCTGTTTTTATCTTCCTGGAAGTTCGTGAATGCCTATAAATCTTCTTCCTCCTTTCCGATACACATACACTCGTACAAATATCTCCTTTGCTTAACCTCACCTCACTGTTGATTTTTTCTCGGCTTTTGGTGAAGGGACCTTGCCCCCGGCTCAGGGGTGAAAGGGGGGGGGGAGAGCAAATTCTCACACTATCACACTGTTCTCACCTATGCCTCGTACCGGCGCTGGCTCTCGCTATTCAAAAATTTACATCCCATCGCAACCACGAGGCAAATCGGTGTAATAAAAGTGATTCAACCCTACCTGAGCTCTCGTTTGCGGAAGATTCGTGCGAAAAGTCCATTTACGATAGGCCAAATTGGGATCTACCTTCATTTCAGATGATCTTAAAAGCCTATTTTGCTGCCAGGAACGAGGAAATTGATACTAAGTCCATTTCTGATCTTTTTGCATATTTCTCACTGCAATTCTTTGGAAGTATATTTTTCAGGCAAATTTAGGGTGATCAGAATCGAAAAAACTTCAAACTCTTCTATGAAATCTAAAATAAGCGTTTTTTCCATAGTGGTTCAAAACACTTCAAAAATCGTAAGAGATGTATAGGCTGTACCAACCAGCATCGGTTGTGCGACGTCGCGCCTACGGCGACTTGCGACGATACGATGTGACGCGCGCGAAATCTGCCACGCGTTAAGGCACGTCGCATGCGACGGTGCGTCGTCGCAGGGCATGCTGGCGCGGGACCGATGCCGGCTGATACAGCCTATATGAATTCATCCAGATACTGACGAACAAACGTTATTGTTCTCAAATACTGAGACAGTGCGCAAGTTGCTATGTTTTAAAAATCTGGTTTTTGATAACTCTTCAAACTTTCAGGTCTTAAACCCGGAATCATGCTTTGTAATCAAAGAATAAACAAAATTCTACCAGATAATTTAGAATCTCCAAAAGTTCACGATAAGTTTTGCGAAAAGTGAACGAGATATTGCTTCGACCATTATTCGTTATGCTGAATAAGACAAATATGAGCTTGATTTATTTCCTGTTCATAGTGTTCATTTAACCAGCTTGGACATTTACTGGTCAACTATGGCTTGAAATGAGATCATCCTCTTACATAAGTCTTGAAGTACCAACCCTCAAACTCACAAGTCAGTGCGTCAGTGCAAGAGTAACACCTTTTAGTATTAAGAGTTATGTCTGCATGGGAGCCATAGTATGATAGAAAATGTAGAGAAAATTGTAAAGAAGCAGAAAAAATAGTCTTCACAAAAATAACATCATATTTGGTCTAGTCTAGCTATTTAGTATGGATTGGTATGGTTAGCATGAATTTAGAAAAATGTGTAAACAGGTTGATACAAGCTCAAGAAGAGTTTGCCAGAGCATTCTTGTAAGGAATGAGTGAGCTCACAAATGCGATATCTTATAGCACCACTGAACTGTCCATTTTATTCGCACGAAATATTTCGAGGATATCTTTTCTGGTCAGGTCTCAGCTCTTGCACAGCTCTTTTTCATCCACCCAACTTTTTATCCTTGTTTCCTTCTAAAAACAAGCGATACAAGAGGAGGTGGCTTTGACCGCAACTATTTAGAGACACTGTATATATCAGTGGTTGTCCCAAGATTACCGTTCCGGGGAAGGAAGCGAACCGAAGTTTTAATCCTACCAAGATTTTTGCGGGCATATAACCCCGTAAGTTCAGAGAAAGGGGGTGGAAGTCATGCTGCGAAAAAATTGTTTACAAGGCCAATGTGGACTCTCCGAAGCTTAAAACTTATCTTTATTAACAAGTATAAACAAGGCACTTGCTTATTTTTATAGCTCATGTAAACACTTAGGGCCGCATGCACTGACATCCCCGCTGGGAAGGAGATCGCAGCTCAAAAGAAAGCCTCATATCCTGAACTCCAGAATGTGGACTTAACGCTTTCCATGATCCCTAACTATGCCCACCATCCTTCTCTATGAACATCTCGAGCGAAAGCAACGAGCTGTACAAGCCGCATTTTCCAGCTTTTGTGTGATCCCGTAATCCCCCGCGGCCGACCATCTTTTCTTCGAAGTCAACGAAACCCTTCCAAAGTTGCACTGATTGTCTAACCCAATAGTGCTAAGCAGTTGCTGATGAGGACATGAGTTTTCGGAATATCGACTTTTTCGGCAAGCCCCAACGTTTGACTTGTGGTTCAAATTTCATGACTTCGAAACATCACTTGTTCATACCAAAAACATTATTAGCACTGTTGAGTTAGATAAACAGCACAACTTTGGAATGTTTTCATTGACTTCAAAAAAAGAAAAATGACCATGACGAAAAGACGGACGGCCGCCGATCATCAGAGGATCATACAAATAGGGTGAAATTGCGGCTTATCATAGCTTCTTATTCATCTTATATATAAAGCTGAAGGTCTGTTTGTCTGTCTGTCTGTCTGTCTGTCTGTCTGTGTGTACGTATGTTCCGAATAGAAAATTCAATTTCTAAACCGATCGGGACCAAACCTAGCACACATACACTTTGGGCCCCGGCGAGTGTCATAGGCTACTTTTCGTCATCGATCGACATCGATTTTATCGATTTTTTGCAAAATTTGAGCTACGGGGCTGGGAGTTGGCACAGGGGGGTAATCGAGCATGCTGATCACCCCAGTGGGGATGATCAGCATGCTCGATTACACCCCTCTGCCAAATTCCAGCCCCCTAGCTCAAATTTTGCAAAAAATTGATAAAATCGACAACGATCGATAATGAAAAGTGGACTGTGACACCCGCCGGGGCCCGAAGTGTATGTGTGCCAAGTTTGGTCCGGATCGGTTAAGAAATGGAATTTTCTATTCGGAACATACGGCGGAGCCGGGTAAGCCCGCTAGTGTCCAATATGTTCATAGTGAAGGGTGATAGGAATGCTTACGGATAGGTAAACAGCCTGAAATCCAGATATCTAAAGCTTCAGGATACGAAGCTTTTGAGCTTCGATTCCCTCCCCGGGAATGTTAGTGCATGCGCCTTGAAAACTTCGCGACTCATTGGGGGATGGGAATCCATCCCTCCCTCGGCGCGCCAACAGTACATACGTACACACAAATAAAAGGTAGACGTTTAAAGATTTATTTTGTGACTCTCATTATGCTGCTTACGCTTTTGGCGATGTTTGTGTGCCAACTTAATACATATGATAATTTACCTGGGCACCAACACGGCGTGCTATCATACCTGCTATGGCTGGCGGCATAGATAGCACCTCATCCAAGTCAATTTCAGCTTTGAGATACGCTCCAATAAAATGAAACATTTCCAACGAATGGACCTAGAAGTATACAGAATCAGTGACGTTTAATTCTCAGCTGTGTAACAAAGCCCGGGAGAACGGTTGAGTCGAACAGGTGGGCACGAAGCTTCGGGTCCGTCAGTGGTCGGTGGCTTTCTTCAGAGAGGGTGTATGTCAAGAAGCGTGATTTTTATTGCCAGCTAGACAGCAAGTAGCACATTACTGTCTTATGGCGTTCTAAAAGTGCTTTAAAAATCTGAAGAGATGTACTAGATGGTTACAGTGGGTGTTGTGTGGGTGTTGCTTTGAATTCGAGATGAAAATGTTCGAAGCCAAAACTCACGAAAATAGTCAAAGGCAAATTTGTACTTATTTCGGCACTTCTTTTGGTCAGAATCTCTGCAAAAGTGATTAAACTCAGCAGTGGTTACTTCAGATAGCTAGTAAGCTAGTGCAGTTTGTCTGACGATTTTTGAAGACTCGCGTAGCACTCACTAAACTTGATTTTGAGTTGGTGACAGCCAAAAAATTCGCGCCTTTTGACCGTCTCTTCCTTCAAAGGCCCGAAGGCGGCTCAGGATGCCCTTCTTCTCCTGTTAAGTTCTTTTCCAAGTCATTCTTAGTGTTTATTGAAACCAAGATACACGTATTACAAGTTTACATATTGGGGCTGCCTTCCAGAGACCATCAGCATCATCAACTGTTACTCGCCAAAATCCACAGCTGACGAATCACTAGATGCTTTCTACGAAGACTTGGAGGAGGTCGTAAGAAACGAGAAGTCCTTCCACAAATTTGTTGTAGACAACTTCAATGCGAACTAGAAAAGGAATATAGGATCGGAAAGTTTGAATATGGGCTCCGGAGCGAAAACGGCAACGGTCTAGTCGGGCTCCTCTCCGCCGCACGACTCTTCCACTAACCTGTCTTCCTAGAGTTAGAACATCGCCGGTGGAAATAAGAAACGCCCAACGGAACGACTTACGCGGAGATCGACCACGTTTTCACCAACCGAAGGTGGAGCTTGCTCGATGTCTCAACAGTTCCACTCTTCTGCAGTGAGTCCGATCACGCCTCCTTCAGCGAAGATACGATTCAGTCTAAAGCTGGAAAAGAAAGTCTGTCACGGTGCCGCAAGAAGGAAGAAAGTCGTTTACGACGGTAAAAGATTGGAAGAGCAGAACAGGCTTTGCAGGAGGATCTCAGAAAGACAGGCAAGCCAAGAAACTGGAAGCAGCCGAAGAAAGACGAATTCTCAAGAAGTGCCGATGGGACCTCTGCGAATATCACATGCGGCTGGCCGCACTAGTGAACGAAGACGGGACCCCGACTTCCTCCAGATATAAGATGGAATCTGTCGCGTAGAACTTCTACACCAACCTCTTCCGCTCATCAACGCTCGTACTGCCGCCCGTTGTTCCCACTGCAAAAGTACCACAACGAATTCCTCCTGTTGAGATGCGTATCGCGATTCCGACCATGAAGACTTTAACGGCTCCCCGACCATCTTTCCGTCGAATGTCTGCGAACCGGAGAACAACGTCTACGAGATTTTCGCGTTGCATCTGACATCTCACCTTCAAAAGCAATGGTTCCCGACCAGTGGAAAATGTCAAGAACCGTCCTTCTCTACAAGAAGGGTGAACGGAAGGATCTTCGGAACTAACGTCAATATGCCTGCTGAGTGCGCTGTACAAGCTTTTCGCGAAGATTATCCCTCGCATATCTAGGACACTGGATGCTCAGACAATTCACTGGAGACTCCGCAGACCGGTTAGGAAAGCTCCGCCGGGTCACCTGCGCAATTTCCTTAAACGTGTTGCGGAAGTACCAAGTGAGGTGAACGTCACAACAGCAAAAGAGAACTCCTGGCGAATTTCGAACTTTGCTCTGTTGACTGTGAGACCCAATCACTATTTTCTGCACTACGGATGACATGTCCAATAATGCACTCTAGCTTGGTGAGGAAACATCGTAAGTGATAACACAATCAAAAGCCTGCGGAAACGTTGGCAGGTCAAAGTGATGCGGAACCGATGGCATTTTTCGAACTTTTCGCAACCTTTTGTTACATATCCTGCGAAGGTACCCGTTCTCAGCCAGTCTGACGCGATAATCCTGCGGAAAACCCGCAATTTGGAGCGTGCACTTTCTCAATAGTTAAGAAAGAGCTGCGAAACCGCGGCAAGTTTTGCTTGCCCTGCGGAATCTCCAGTGAATTGTCTGAGTGAAGCCAAACCCCAAGAACAGCTCAGACAAATGACCGGAACTTCCGCAAAGCGCTTTCGGAAGTTCCGCCGGGTCACCTGCGGAAGTTTCGTAAACGTGCCGCGGAAGTTCCGAAATGAGGTCCTGCGGAGGTTCCGAAGAATGCCAACCACAACAGCAAAAGAGAAAGCCGAAGCGAGATTTGAACCTCACTTCATTGACTGTGAGACCCACCTACTATCCTCTACGCTACGGCTGACATGTTTGATAATGCACTCTAGTTGTTGGCGGGGCAACATTATGAGACAACACATTCAAAGTCCTGCGGAAGTTCTGGCATGCCAAAGTGCTGGGGAACCTCTGGCATTTTTCGGAATTTCCGCAGGATTTTGAAGAAGCTTCTGCGGGAGTTCCGGGTTTCAACCAGTTTGGCATGAAAATCCTGCGGAAGTTCTGATTTCCAACGTTTTCAAAGTGAACAAAGTCCTGCGGAACTTCTGCAAATTTGGCTTGTCCTGCGGAAGTTCCGGTGATTCGTCTGAGAAGCTGGATTTCGCAAAGGATTCAGCTGCATGGACCACATCCAGACGGTTTCGAAGGTCATAAAAGTTTGCCGGGAGTACCGACTGCCTTTAATGCTAACCTTCCTCGACTACGAGAAAGCCTTTGACAGTGTTGCAACCAACGCCATCCCAGCGCTAGTCCATCAAGGAGTGGACCCAGCTTACGTGAAGACGTTGGCCGACTGCTACAAGGACTGTACAACGACGATGCCGCTGTTCTATCGTCCCCTGACCATCCCAATTAGAAAGGAGTCCGACAAGGCGACACAATCTTGCCCGAAGCTATTCACCGCGGCCTCGCTGTGGGTGATAAGATTACTGGACTGTTACGTAGAGGCATACAAGTTGATAAGAGATTCCTGTCGAGCACTCGTTTTGCGGCGACATCGTTCCCTTTTCAGGCAATATCACTGAAGCAAAGACGATGCTGAAGGAACTAAATGAAGTCGGGAAGAAGATCGGATTGCGAATAAATCGAAGAATTGGAACTAGGAGGCAGCCCTGATATGGCGACGTCTTCTTACGTGTATCTTGGACGTACGATAAACATGGAGAACGACTTAAGGATAAAATTCAATGGGGAAGAGGAGCAGCCTGGGCCGCCTCGGGCCTTTAAAGGAACCCGCCGACCACGATGGACTCGTGCCCACCTGACCGACTCAGCCTTTCCCCCGATGCTCTGTAACGCAACTGAGACTTGGGCCACAATGTAGTCAGGTCAAAAGCTCTAAGGACCATTAACAGAGCGCTAGAGTGCTATCTTTTGAAGATAACCCGACGCAAACCACATCTTGTCGGACTACACAGCACGGATATGAAAAGAATGTGCTGCCTTCGTTACCCAGCGGAGTATGTTGCTAAAGCGAACCGATGAGCCCGTCACATCATGAGAAGAACAGACGACAGATGGACACTAAGAACATTGGGGTGAATTTCTGGAGAAGCGAAATGTCCCTCGAGGAACACCTCCAATGAGATGGGCAGACGTGTTCTGGAACGTATGGACCTCCTGATAAATCACCTAGATACCTTTGTAACTCGTGGACGCAGCCGCCAGGCAACCAAGAAGATCGTGGATGTCCGAAGCGAGTCACAGAGATTACTGGGAACTTTTGTTCACTGAAACTGGGGCCCGCACGTCACGTGGACGTCTATCTAATTAGCTAGCCATAAGTAAGAACTGCATCAAAGATGGTTTAGCGATGCCGCAAAAATTCTCCATTAACCGACATCAAACCATGACTTGCGCCTTGAATCATGATCACACCGCCGTTTAAACTAACCTGCCTAGGTGTTTGCTCTTTGAGAGCGTACAAAATTTCAATGTCTTGGAAATGATAAGCATCCAGACCAATAGGTCACTGGACGCCCGACTGAGGCGTTTACGTTCAACTTAGTCCCGATCAGCCAAGTTGCACGAATTGGGATTTACGCCATATTCCTCTTTGAGGGCATGGCGACAGGTAGACGTGACTCACAGAAAGATCCAAGTAAAGCTGTGGATAACCTTCTCCACCAAACTTCGACAAGAGGTTGTAGTTCCATCAGTGCGGCGAAATGCGGTCATCATGGCTTTAAAATTGACGACGCTTCCTTTCAATATGTTCAAAACCAACTATGGGAGGGCTAGCGCGTTTTCGGTTTACTTACCTGATACAAATTTTGGGCAAACACTTTTTTATCCTTACGTCAAATTGATGAAAGTTTACCGCATGAGTTTTGGCTTGTGCTGATAGCACTTCTTTCAAACAAAAGCTCAGAAAGAAAAAGAATAAATGAAATCTCTCAGGATCGGTACAGTTGCCATCATAGCTACCCCAACTATGAACGCAAGCTGCTTGGCGTCTTCTCTTTTATTCCGATCATATTTCACTTGTCACGTGCTGCTTTTTGACTGGTTATCGAACATCATTGAACGGTGATTTTTGGAAGCTGCGGTATTCTAGACACGATCTTGCTGTTTTCCTTCTTACTAATTCACTTATCATCATGTCGTTTCAAAACTGAGTTACAAGCCTCCTTAGGGAGCTTTCAGACCTCGCCGGTTGCCGCTTTTGCAGCTGTTAGCCGCTCTCGCTCCGGTTGCCGCTAATACAGCCGAAGCGCAGTGAGTCAAGCTATTGTCTCCCCAGCGCGCGTGCGAAGCGAAAAACCATCAATCAATCCAATTTCCTGTGCTTTTTATCTTTTTCTTCATTTCTCTGTTACAAACTGGTTTCAATGTACAATTCTTTGGATAATGGCTGTTTTAAGGTATGAAACATCGCC